CCCCCCCCCCCCCCCCCCCCTCTTATTTACCTTTGGCTTATATATTTGCTTTGTGTTTAGTTTCTCATTTTTGGATTGTTTTTGTCAGAACAACCGCTGTCATCTCTTGTTTTCTTTTTAAGGACTATATCTGAGGGCCAGTGGTGCTCCGATGATATCTCATTTCGAGGCGGCGATTGTCTTTAGGGTCGAGTGGTGCTCTGGTATCTTGTTTCGTAGAGGATATTTATCCTTCTCCAACTCCTCTGCATCCTTCTCACTTCGCTGCTCGCTACAACCCGCCTACAACAACCCTTTTGTTGTTCTCCCTGCAATTTCGCTATGTTCAGCCATCTTCCTTGTTGTCGCCCGGACAGTCGTTCTTGGCTGTTTTGCTGTTGTTCCAGCCCTCCGAAACTACTTCCCTGCCACCTAGCTGCTTTCTTAGGCTTGCTGCACAACTTCCTTGCCACATATCCTAAACCCCTTTCCTTGTAGTTTCTGCCTCTTGCACTGCCTCCTGGCCACTCAGAACCTCCTCCCGTGTAGCTTAAATGCTGTTCTAGCCGACCAACACCACTTTAGATCTTTGTTTTTTCGTTGCCCAGCCCACCTACCCACTTGCTGTTGTCCCGAGCATCTTGTATCCCCTACTTCTCTGCTGTATCGCCACCTGCTTCTCCTCCCCACCTTGCTGTCACCTTTCGGAAGCCCCAACGAGCACCATCACCATCGTTGGTACACTCTCGTCACAATTTGTGTCTTGTTAGTTGTTATTTTCAATTTTTTTGTGTTTGTTGTAGCTGCTTATAAGTTTTTCTAGTAATAATATTTGTTCGTTTATTGTTGTTTGAATTAACTCCGATATCATTTAATATTAGAGCTAGCATAACTCTAGTCCTATTTTAATGTTTCTAGCATCCACCAATACCCAACCCTATCTCCACATAAAATTCCTTCTATTTGCTGATTTTTCAATCTGACCATTCAAAAATTTTCTTCTTTAACCTACATCATCCCTATATACTCTCTTCCACTTACCCAAACTCGAAGCCCTAACCGCGCCACTACCGAGAGAATTTTAGAGACCTTATCAAGAGGAAATGCCATAATATTGTTTATGATAAATATGGAAAGTGATGTACAAAATTTTTTTAATGAAGTTCTCCAACTACAGTAGAGGCTTTTTTGTTGTCCCTTAAAATAAAATTAGGAAAAAGAGAAATAATTAAGTCAAAAAAATTTACCTGTTTCTGCTAATCCATCCAAGAACTGCTCCGTATACTCACTTGCTATTATGTTTAACTCGAAGCTCTTCAAGGGGACGGTCATGTTTTGGTCACAAGAAGGAGAGAAGAATTAAACATCACTCTTATGGTTTGCACACAAGGAAAATCATAGGAACCAAGCATTGCTTTCTTCTTTGTTCGAACACCGACCTTTCTCCATTGCGACTGCGATTCTCGAGATACAGTGGCGACTAGGGCTATCTGGAAAAGGGTTGACAAGATTGCTACCCATGAGACCGTCGAAACTCTTTTTGTCGATCCTTCGTCTCGCCGTGTCACATGATTCTCCAGCCTTAGCCACTGGTTAGCTTTGAAGACAACAGTGGGATCGCTTAGTATGAAGGTCTTCAAAATTCCCCGTTCCTCCTCAACTCTGTACGTTGAAACAGGAACCGCAGGAGCCCAAGCTTCATCTTCTCTCCGTTTGCATGACACCTAGGCACGACATAGTCGTGATTAAATCTCAACAAGAAACCAACTACGGGATTGCTACATACGAGGATATCTAAAACTCCTTTTTTCCTTCCATGTATGACACCGGCTTACAGTTGCGTTAATATGACGACTTGATCATTGCACATAGATTATCAAAACCTCTGATCCTTCCTATACAATATGATGAAGGAGAAACTCATTCCTTATCGATCATTGTCTATGAATATCCCCGAAGCTCTCCCTATTCAAATCGAATGCCATAACCGAACTTCGACATGCAATTCTTCCCTTACCTATTTCGCGCACCCCGTTCACTCTTTTCATTGTTTTGTAGCAAACAATAAGATTCCTGAATATAAAGAGCTTTGAAACTTGTGTTATCTCCTGTCCATTAGTTCTTCATGCTCGAAGCAAATTTTTGAACCTATTGTTCCAAACTAAGACTGGTCGTTTATTTCCATATTTGCAGGCTAAGCCTCATGAAATAAGGCTAAATCATGCGGTTGTTCTTGTTCACCCATTATTTTATTTCCTTTCCCCATATGCAATTTCAAGCCATAACCACAAATAAGAGCACTTCTCTTTTTATATATAATATAAATTATGTATATTAGATATAAAAAATGTGGGTATAAAAAAGGAGATTGAAAGAAGGAAAGATTTATTTGGTAATTCACATTCCGGTGACATTGTCTCCGCTTCAAAAGAAAATTTATATACAAGGAAATGAGACTCACATTATTTCTATGCAGGATAATCAAAGACTTCGTATATTATAGATCGATAGATTAGAAGGTACTCTCCGACTATAGTGACTCATGAATCTGACTAATGCATCTCATGAATAACTGGGCATGTAGACACCTTGATATTGCCCCCTAAGTGGTGTATGGGGGTGTGGTTGGGGGGGGGGGGGGTGCGTGC